AACCAATGTAACCCCACGGAGCCTACGTGTTCGACCACTGGATTCTTCTGATTGCTCGAAGCGCGCCGCTAGAGTTGCCTAACGTACCTTCCTATGTCAACATATTCACGGTTGTACAACACATTTGGAGAAAGTTAAAAAGGGCGGCCGGCACATGGATGATATATTGAAATAAATTATTCAACCCCATGAACAGATTATCTTTCAAAGCATACTTGCAACACGATTCAATCAGAGAATGAATTAGGCAGNNNCAGATGAGGACGTTTGATGCGTTGAAATCCAAGCACATCTAGCCACTACATCATTCCACCATCTAACCACCTCTTAATCTGTCAGGTCGGAAACTCCCTGATGAAGAACTAACGCTCTCGAATAAAGGACTGAAGTTTCTCACACCTATTTCACGACCTCTCTTGAAGCGTAATGAACATTTTATCAAGAATACATCTCATTTAGTGGGGAAACTCAGAAGACTGACTGTTGAACGTGATGAATGCTCAATGAGTTACGATGTGGTATCCCTGTTCACACAAATGCCTACCAATGAATGTCTGGACATAGTGAGAAGTCGTCTTGACAGCAACCACACACTCAGTAATCGAACGAACTTGACAGCTGACGAAATAATGAAAGTAAATGAACTATGTCTGAAGTCAACACTATTCGTGCATAATCATTCACTCTACAAACAAACAGACGGTGTTGCCACGGGATCACCCATTTCACCGATAATTGCGAACTTTTTTATGGAAGAGTTGGAAGAATTGCTGAATTCGACAACTGTGGTACCACGAGTCTGGTGGCGCTATGTGGACGATACCTTTGTCGTCATGTAGAAAGTGCATGTCGAACCATTCACGCAGTTTTTAAATGACTTTCACAACCAAATCAAGTTCACACTGGAAACGACCGACAACTCCCTAAATTTGCATGATTGCCGTGTGAAAGTACTGGGCTCGGGTAAAGTATCGGTGACGATACACAGGAAAGACATACATACAGGACGGTACCTCAACTTCCATTCTGACCACTCAACTAACATCAAGATGTCAGTAGCACTTAGCCCAATTACTGGAGCTCGGAAACTAGTAACCAACAAAAAGGATAAACATCAAGAGATGAACCGGATTAATAAAGAACTAGAAGATAATAAATATCCGAAGGAGTTCATCGAAAAAAATTAAACGCCGAAATATCAACCCACTGCAGTCAACTAAGCCAAAAAAAGACTGGTTGACAACTGTTGTGGTTCCATATCGTAGTAACACGTCCGAAGACATACGACGGATACTCAACCGTGTAAACATGAGGGTTGTGTTCAAAAACACCAAAACAATCTACTCCAAAATAGTTATTCTCAACGACCCGCGAGCAAAAGGGGGACACTTCCAACGTAGTTTATAGAATACATTGTCTAGATTGTTCTGTTACGTATATCAGCCAAAAGTCCAGAAGCGTAGACAAACGAATGACTGAACTCATGCATCTAACGCAAAAGATTCCAAGTGATGCAGCAGGTTGGAATCGAGTGGAACACAATTCCGCAATCGCTGGTCACGCAATGTCCGAAGGACATGCAGTTGATTTCAAAACCCCGCGCATTCTAAAGCGTGGGTTCAGATGTCGCATGGAACGTTTGGTAGCCGAAGCGCTCCTGATCAACGCTGAACCTACGGCAATCAATCGATCCGATGGGGCAGTCATTCCATAGTTATGGCAACGATTAACACTTGCAGAAAACGGGATTCGCGAAGAAATTTCTTTTCGATTTATCGCATCAGGCGTTCACACATATAAGGCGATCATAATACAGATGTCTGAATGGCCGATTAGAGCTCAGTTAGTAACGATGACAGGGGCGAACAAACATGAAACAAATATGAAAAGGCTAATGATGGTCATGGGTGGGGGTGAGAACACAAAGGTCAAATGGACAAACGTTCGATAGATGAGCAGATTAAATGAAGGTTGTGAGCTAAGACGAGAGAGCGGGATGAAGTTACATAATATACGGTGGAAACTATAGGTCATAATAAGGTCATAGCATGTGATGTAATCAGCAAGGGACATTAGAGACAAAAAACATGATAATTAGTTCCTAAGATTGAGATTGGTAGACCAGGAAAGAGGGACGGGTTGATAGTCTGTTTTATGCACAATCAATCCGCTGTCCAGACCAGGGCAACAACAGTGTCTGGACCAGCATTTTCTGCTCAAATAATTCTGGATTGAAAATTCGAATTGCAGTCGCCTTGTGCATACAACATAGTCTCGCCCCCACCCCACAGGCCAAGTGACTACTTTCACACGTTTTGACCTTAAGGTCAAACCAATTTCACTCGCCCCAATCACCTGTTGAAAGATCACCAACACCCACACGTGCACACACACACACATACATGCATGCTCGAATCACATCCGAGTTCTATACTATGTCACCATCCCATCGCCTTATAATTGCTTGTAACGTGAGATTAACCGATTAAACGACTTGAAAAAGGCCTTCGAAGAGGGTGAAAGCGTTGTCACCAACGCCTTTGTGTTTTGGTTTTCATTCGCCGTGGCTAAGACAAGCTAAATTCCTCAATAAATGGACATGAATTAGATACAATAGATTGCTTTCCTACTTAAATAGTTGCTTAACCAATGGCGGTGTCGAGGCCAAGGCGATAGCCGCAAGCACTTTCAAGTCTTGAGAAGCCCAAGCATGACTGAAATACCTTTGGCATAGATGCGGCGTTTCACTGAAGTTGAAAGGTCGTGTATATTGTGCCGTTCGATCAGTTCTACACTGTGGGTGTGAGACCTTGAAGTTGTGGGTAGAAAATATTCGTCGAATAGAAGTTTCCGTTAATCGGTGTTTACGTAGCTCAGCCCATGTGGGATGGAGCGAACGGGCTAGTGATCTAGAGGCAAGCCTTGATGTGTTTGGGAGTTTATCTGGGATAGATTTGATCGTGCATCGAATTAAGATTGGTGGGTTTCGCTGGTTAGGACACGTATTGCACATACCAAGTTGCGGTCTACCACAAGCCTTATTTCATATAGTTGCTGTGGCCTATAGGAAATCACGAGGAGGTTAGCTGATGATGTGGAGACTAGATATGAGGAAATGCACGGCGAAATTAGGTAGACTAGGTGTCTTGCGACTTTCACATTAAGGTCCGGAAGTCTCCGTAATTGGTTGGTTGAAGACATTGAAGTATATGGCAGTGAATCGATAGCAGTGGCGCTCTGTTTGTCATTCCTAATCAGGCCAGAATGCTTGAAAACTTATATATACAGAGTCCGATTGAGTATTCAATGTTGGCCATAGAAGTTTCAATCCCTAAAAATTGGTTCAATCTCTGTCCATCTTACATGTTACCACTAACTTTGTATGCATTGTGAGTTTGGTAGCGATCAGTGAAGTCCACTCCACTGTACGATGTGTTGATTTTGATGTTGATGATGATGATGTTGATGTCGATGAACGTCATGAGTAATAACTGCGGCTCTAATACCGACTGACGCAAGTTATAACCAATATATTAATCGATTTCAGTATGCAACGGCAGCAACAAAGACAAACGCATGATTGGATGCCTATGGTAGAAAGTATTCAACAGAAAAATCATTAGCAGATTGCACAGTGATCGGTGCGGGGTTGGATATGGAAAATAAATCAATGAACCACGGATATCCAGTAATAAATATTTCCGATTACGTGGTTTATCTCCAGTACGGTTTATTTAATGATTTAAGCTATAAATCACGTATGTACTGTCTGGTCTGAACCGTCAACTATGTCCTATTTCCGGGGATTCTTTTTAGCCAAAATCGTTGTCGATCATGGTGGACGCCCTGTACCCAATTCTGTGGTTAGTCTCACACTACAACTGAGTAGAGGAATATCGGAAAAGATACGCGGTATTTGGGTTATAAATACTTTGAAACAGCCTTTTCCCGATATAAACTTGAATAAAGAACAGTAGCACAGTGTTGCACAATTTATTTCTGAAAAAAATTGGCTGTATCTCTTTAGGGACATACCACAGTCAAGTAATATAATGAAAGCTAGTAAGTAACATTTACCGTGGATGAGCTGTTGGTGTTATCTACATCCAGATAACAACTGCAAGGTTACGCTTAGATTGGTGGGACACTTTCGATAAAAAATTATCGTCAGTTCTGCTGGATTTTAGAACTGGTTACTGTGCCATATCTATCAAAAATAGGGTTCATGGAGAGTGGTGGCAATGCAATAACATGTTAGCATCGTCGATATATGGGCAAGGTGGTCATTTCGATTATGCAGTACTGCAGTGGCGGTAATACACAAATGGGATATAATCTACATGTGGTGCACAAACTGGATATGAATCTGCAAAACAATGACGTGCATATCGATTGAGTATAATTGATGAGTGTCCTAATGCAACCACCTGAGGTGTAGCCAATCAATTCTATTTCCACATCATGCGACGGACGTAAGCAATGGCTCAAACGTTGATCATGTAGGCTGCATTGGTGTCAGCGTAGCAGAGAACGCTAGGACTTATTAGGAGGGTGGACGAAAAAACACTGGCACAGCCGCGTACACGTAGTACCAAAGTAAACGACCAAGATATGTCATGGGCATTGAAGTTGTGACCGAGGAAAGTCTAAAAACCGCCTCCCCGTACTCCAACAGGAGGTTGAGAAATCTATGATGCATTGTGATCATTCACAGATCACAGGCTTGCATATAACGCTGGCCTAGCAGCGATGATGAGTTCAAAGTGACAGCTTGAAATGATACTCGGATCAGTTGAATTGCAAAAGGAAGAATGCAGTTTCCAGTGTCCTATCTGGTTGAATTTACGCATAAGTGAGATGGGAAATCCTGCTTTGTACGATTTTATTGGCCCATAAACCGACAGCAAATTCGATCTTAAGTTGCGTGCGGATGAGAGAGAGAGAGTAGAATTAATTTACCGGGTTCAATAATGCCGTTTGACGGTGCACAAACAAATACTGGGGACCCATTGGTATTTTGTGTGCCCTTGATTGCCGATGGGTCAGACATCAAGTGGAACTCAACGAGAACCGCGGTTGGATTGGTCACGGACAGTTCAATCTCTGCGTACTCCGGAACTAGAACACATCCAAAGTGAAGAAGGTGCACCGGACGCAGAAAGCCTTTGTCATCCGTATGCGAATCGGTACTCAAACCACGGATTGCGGTTAATTCCACCCTAGAACCAGTTATATAGTGAAACAAAATTTAGGAATACCAGGGTTATGTCACATCGGGAGAGCTGGTTAAGTTTGAAAGAAATAAACTAAACGCTCGAATAATTTGATGCTACTTTCCGAACATTTTATACGGGTTACAGTCATTTGAAATGAGCTACTAAATAACACTTGGCCGTAACTCCATTCGGACTCACTTCGGTACAACGCAAAAGCCGATCAACTTGATGGTGAGTGGCAACTGAACCAACGAATCGGCCACATCACGTATCACAGGTTGGTCTTCCGGTATAGCCATCAGACTCAGGCTATCCGAGCACCACTCGTGTTTCGGACTCGGTTGAAATTTCACTTTGATCGGTGTTCTCTCCCCTGGGTCTAACACACGACGCACATGCACAAGTTCGAATGGACCGATCGGGTTCAAAGGTTTGGTGGTAATCTGTATGTACATCGTTCATGGAATTGGATAATGGCATAAGGAGGTTAAATTATTGTATCTAAACAATTTTTGAAACTATGATTTCAGTGTTATGGAGAGAACTGAAACGACTGAGTATCAATGAAGAAAACAGCTGAACAAATTTAAATAGCTGATTCTGGTTAGCCGCTTGTGAGCTGATTAGCAGAGTGGTAACACACAATCCCCATACAGGGGAGTCCGGAGTTTCCAAACTTGACTAAAACAATGGATGAGTGTTACTGGCAAACTGAAACGTCTATCTCATACAAATGCTACCAAGTTGCTTTGATTTGAATATCGATTATTATCAATAGGATTATCATTAACAAGAATATTATTATTATTATTATTATTAGCATCTTCATTTTTCCCACTGTTTCATTCGTACGCAGTTGCATCGAATACATGTGGTGATAAGCGTGTCCATCAATGATAATATTATAATAATAGCCAAAGAATAATGAAGGTTTTCTTATGCAGTACTCGTGAGTGGCATGTTCCTGAACGAGTCCTGTATGGCACCAGCTAAGTTTGGTCAATGAAAGACGTTACTTGTTCTGGTTTAGAGATTAGATCATCGAAATCAAAATCCGACAGGAGGTTTGGAACAAATAACTTAAAACATCTGGGTGACTGCACAAGAAACAAAGAACTGTGTGCATCAACAATTTGATTAATTAATATCCACAATAGTCCTCTTTAGCTCAATGGCAGAGTATTTGATCAATATAGGAAATTCAGTGGATGTCCAAAGGTCATCAGAGAATTTCGTTATTGGATGCGCCCAATCCAGTTGCACAAGCAACAGGCGCTGGTACTGGGATTGGATAGGGGTTCACTCATTAGAAGGTTAGGAGTTTCACACCTTAGTAATATGTAACACTCAAATAATCCATTTTACCAAGCCATGTTCAGACGAGCGTGCCACATCCGAGGGCAATAGCAGGGCCTAACAGCCACAAAATGGAATGGATTAACCCAAACATAGCGTTCTAAATTAATACAGCCATTCGTTTGGGGTGTTGATTATGGACCGTGTAGCTTGGGGTTTCTACTCCCAACCCGGACGTTGTTCCAGTCTCGGCTAGGATACAATGCACTACCAGTAAGTCCAAATAAGGGCGAAACAGCTAACTGGCGCTCTTTCAAGTCAAGTCGAAAATATCTTTATTCATCCTAGTGGATGGATTCTTAGCTTCTTGCACTCCAGGATCGCTTATCATTGCATAGTCACATAGAAAAAGTGAATGAACAGCATCATTACTCAAACAAATGTGAAGTAAAAGTTTGAAAATGGATTACAATTGCATAGGAAATTCAAAACGTTATCTCTAACAGATGCCTTTTGAGCCAGAAACCTCGAAAAATAGGAGATGACGGACAAATGGTAGGCCGCGGTACGAGCATACACCAGTTTTTACGGACATCTGGTTACAGAATTGGATAGGCATTATTGAAGTTCTGTGTGTAATGGGTGAGTGACGTCTGATGGAATATTGTTGCAGAAGTTATCGCAAGAGGAAAAATGTTTTTCGGCGGTAATAGACTGGCGCAGAATTGTGTAATCTTTAACCGGCAAATAAAACTGGGGAGCAGCAGAGATGATGAGTAGAAACACAATAATATACAAATAGGGTGATTAAATGTAGTAGAACTTTCAAAGAACGTAAGCGAGAAATAAAGAAACACAGTCGTCGAATCTTCTCAAAAGTAAAATTTAAATTTTAGGTCCAGGTGAGATCTTGGGAGGCATTGCAGAGAATGTACTGGGGGAACAAGCTGGTTGTCAACATAGAGTAAAGAACATTTTCTTTCCAAAGAATACAGCCGTTTTCCTTTGGCGAGCGAAAAGGTGACATCCCTACATTTAGAGGTATTGAGAGATATCTTGAAAGACGAAGACGATAAGCTTAAGAGAGATGAACGGGTTTGAAGCTGTGAGGAGTGGAAATCACCTTGGAATTTGGAACCTATTTTGACATCATCAGCGTAATTAATTAGAAGATCATCTGAGTCAGTGTGAAGGTTACGAATATAGAATGAGAAAAGAAAGTGGGCAGAATTGCTCGCAATAATCAGAACGACTGAAATGAAAGTTCATTGACGGTCCTCCATAGGCATCAGTCCAGCCAACTAAGGCAGATTGTGAT